TTAGATTTTCAGAGAAGAAAAATTTATTAAAAAAAAACAAATTTGTTATTCTTTTATTTTTATAATATAAGTAAATAATTAAGTGTCATATAAATGCAATTTGTTATTGTGATCATATGACTTTACTAGCATTAATTCACGTTTATGAAGGTGTGCGAATACTTTTGTCTACCCTCTATATATAAAGAATTTAAAATAATAAAAAACATATAAATTTTTTATAATGAAATTATTATACTTACTACTTTTTATATATATTTATTCTTATAAATATAATTATAATTTTGTATTTACTTTATAAATTTTTTATTAAGAATTATTTAATAATTATTATATTATTTTATTACAAATAATATATAATATATGAAAAAGAATAATTATATAGTATTTTTCAACTAATTACTTTATTTATATCAATTTGAAAAAAAAGAACTAATACTATAAAATGACTAATATAAAAAATTTTAATATTCATATTTTTTTTTCAATATTTCTAACTAATATAAATCATAACCTTTATGCATTAAAGTATTTTCTTCAACCCCACTTATCCATTTAATTTCTGAATTCATTCTAGATGTATAATGATCCTTTTAATGTATTTTAGACTAATCAAAATCTATAAGTATTTCTTGTAACTTTTTATCAACTTTTTCTATTATTATATTTGAACTATGTAAATCACCAAAAATAATATCATTGGTATATAAAATATCAATAGCTTCTTCAATATTTTTTAAAATATTATTGTATTCCTCTCTTGTAATATTTGCAGTCTGTAATATTTTACTATTAATATATTTTATCACAATCATACATCATCCTCCTAAACTACTATTGCTAATATAAAAAAGTTTTAATGCAAAATTTTTTTTCAACACAAAAATGATGTGCTTTAGCATTATATTTCTAAATAAATTTGATAAAAATTTCACATCCATCATCAGCTCTTTTCTTAAATAAAAGCTTTAAGTTGTCTTCTGTTAACCAATCTTCATATGTAAATTTTACTATTCTATTATCATCTGTGGTATATTAATGAAGATATAGATAAAATTGCTGAAGATTCTCATCTTTTTATATTTAGACACATTAAGTTTCTGATAAAAGTTTTTTAAATACTGGTCTGCATTGTATAATGCTTAAAAAAGATATGCAATACAGTGATAGCATTTTTCATCAAGACTAGGTATCATTAGAATGAAATTAGTAAGAGGACTAATCACTAGATTAGAAACATAAATATCACTAAGAACACAGATTCATGGATTAGTAACAATAAGAAGTATGGATAGACTGCTGCATATAGCTCAAATTTTATCCCGCTATAATATTAGAAAAGGATAATTAATTAAATAAAAAAAAATATAATATATAGGAAATATACTTATTTTTGTGCCTAATACTTTAAATATGAAAGAGTTGCTTAAATTGTTAGATCACTTTCTTCTTTACCAATTTCATTTTTAATTTTATGAATAATTTGTAATCTATTTTTATCATAAGCAGTTTCTATCAATAACATCCCATTATTACTACTTCTATTCTCGATTTTTACTTCAAGAAGCTTACCAATAAATTTAGTAATATGATTAATAAATGCTTTTATGTAAATCTGCATTTACATATTCATTAGCTATAGTTTCAATTAATTTGCTTGTCTATTCAAAAAGCTCATTTGATAAATCAAGGTTTTCATTATTAAAATCAGAGAAAAACTTTAAAAAAATCTCATAATACAAAAAAATTAGTGGACTAATACAATTGAGTGAATAACCATTCAAAATGATTTTTTGTCTTTGTTGGTTAAAAAATTCATGATATATAGCAACTGATAAGGGAGAACCTATTTTACAAACTTTTTTTAAATTTTCTTCCTGATCTATAAGAAAATGTTACTAAAAACAAAACAAAAAATCCTATTCAACTTATTAAATAGTCTATAGTAAATCATAACTTACCTTTATCTTTACATTTTAGTTCTACTTTCACATTTTCTGTAAGACATAAGAAGGAAAGAATAAATGAATATATGCAAAAGTAAATGGATATAAATTATGAAGTATACAAATTATGTTTATCTTTATTTTTCTCAATAAAATCTTCTGTGAAGTAATGACTGAAAATAAATAAACAGAAACAAAGAAAATATAAATTAATTAAAATTATAACAATAATAAATAAAATGAAATGAACGAAAATAATTTTTTGTATATTCTTTTATACAATTTGTTTATTACTGAATTCAACTAATACTTTTTGTAAATATTTTACCTGTTCTTTTCAGTCATTTTTATCCTTCTCTACCTTTTCTTTTTCTTTTAACAGCCTATCTCTTCTCTCTAACAAGTTCTTTCTTACTATTTTATTCAATTTCTCTTCTTCCAACTCATCCTTCAACTCATTTAACTTTTCTCTTTTATACTTCTCTTCTTCTAATCCTCAATCTTTTCCACTGTCTTCTTATAATCTCCTCTTGCCTTGTTTAATTCTTGTTTTATTTTTTTGTATGTTATCATTTTAAACCTTTAAAAAATTTAAAAATTAATTATTACAAATTTGTTACAATGCATAGGTAAAGTTTGATATTATTGGCTGACAATCATCAGATTGTGATAAAGTATTAAAAAATGATCAACCTTAAAAACTTTTTTACTTAATAATTAATGATAAAACTTCGCATATATACTTTTTCAAATTGTCTTTTCGTCCAATTAGATCTAAATGCTTAGTAAGTTACATAAGTAATAATTTTTATATATTTTACGATAATAATAGATAAGTGTTTTATTGATTAGAATTTTATGAATTTATTATATTACCAAGTGCTAACTTATTCAAGTTTATTGGAATCTTATAAATATATTAAATAATGCTAACTTAGTTATAAAAGCTATATATACTTTCTCGTTTATTTATTTCACCTTTTATCGTCTTCATTTAAGGTATTTTTAATATTTTACCTTCTTTTTCTTCTTTAGTAAATATATTTGAACTTTTTTTCAATTCACATTATTACAGTCTCCGCCGAAAGTAATGGCGGTGGGGATATTAAATAATATTTTGGTCACAGTTTCTCCGGTGTTCCGATTTGTCGCATTATTAATTAGGCCGATTTAGGCAATATAATGTTGTTTTTAATAAAATAAACAAAAAAACCTGATCTTAAATGTTATTTGTTTATTTTAAACTTAACCTAAATTAC